TAATAATGATAATAACAATAATCCAAATTATTCATAAACGAACGGGGCGTCACAATATATCCCAGAAGGATAACATATCCCAGAAGGATAATGAATATTTATATGAAACATGTGATGTGGTGGTGTGATGTAAATATAGCGAGATTATGCTCATGGGTTTAGCAGAGACCCAAATATTTATTTAGATAAGTTCTCTCATTATCAATGCTTCCGCAAGTTAATATTTATGGCAGCAATATTACCATGACTATTGAGTCATATGTGAAAGTCCTGGATGGACTCGAATACCCGAGATAAAAGATAATGAAATAATAAATAGTTTAATTATTTAAAATGTTGGTACGATGTGGTACAACCAACTAAATTCTTCCTGAAGAAGTAAAGTAAGTAATTCAAGGTAGAACCTTGTGTATAATGATAATCTCGGTCAAATAGATTATGTGGTGAACACTATGTAAAAGATTAAATAAGTGAGTTCATGCTTATAGACGGAGTAAGAATGGAACTTTTGGTTAAATACCAAAGAGTATTATCTGGACTTGTAGATCGAGCATCTCCTAGAAAAAATATTTTTGACCCAACCAATCTACTTGAATCTCTTTTAGAGATGTAAAATTGTAACATTAATGAGTGTCAAATATTTGGAAGTTGATAAAGATCCAAAGAAACAAATGAGGATATTATAGGACCTGAAGTTCCAATGGACTTGAAGTTCAAAAACGAACTGAAGTTTATTTACTAAGCGAAATTGTGTTGTACTTTTATCACGCAAACTGCATCAGGCCTGATACTGCATTTGCGATGAATTTGATAGCAAGATTTACTATTTCTCTTCTTAAAGATATATTATGATAAATTTGAGAATATCCCATTATGTTTTCATGTATGTTGAGTTATCTTTGGACTTGATATATGATATCGGTGGATAAGGACATCAATTGTATAATTGATCCCCGAAGTACTGGGCCTCGATTGGTTATATATCTCTGAAATGGTATTAGCACTTTATCACTTTTATTGAATTTTCCCCATAATTATCTGCAAGATAATATAGCTTGTGTTACACAAATAAATTATCGAAATACATTTGATGATATCTTTGAATCCATATTAACTCTGGAAGAGCAACAAATAACGATTTTATGTTAGAAACACTTACCTTGAGGGGGAGCAACATACAATTCTAAATGTAACTAGAAAGACTTTCCCTTCAGGGGGAGCGATAAATAAATCTCAAGATCGAGTCCGGAAGGCTAATTATAATCTTGAAAATTAGGCCCTGTTGGCCGACGCTGTACTCTTTTTCCCTTGACTAAGTTTTTTCCCATTGGGTTTTACTTGGTGAGGTTTTTAACGAGGCAGCATGTGTAACACATAAATTTGCATATGTTATGTACTCTTTTCCTCGACTGCTTTTTCCTACAGGGTTTTGTAGCGAGATTTTTAACGAGGCATAAACATGATGCGGTAATGTCCAAAGGAGGAGTGTTGTAAATATTAATTTGTGGACATTACCTAAACATAGGATTTGTAGGTATGGGTCAGAGCCCATTAGGTCTTTACTCATGTACATTGTATTCCCTTATATATATAGCTCAAGTGAATGAATAAGATGAGACTTTACGGCGTATCTCTTCTCTCTCTTTCTCTTCTACTATTTTCTCTATTTGTCTATCTTGTCTATCTTACATATTGACAATCTAGATTACAAAAAAAAAAAATAGTTTACAAATCTCTAAATAATTAATTTTGTAATTTCCAATTTTTGGTGGATAGAAATCTAAATTATTGGAACTTTTTGTGAATGCTTTCATTTCACCGGGGCAGGGGCTGTTCAGGTATTGACCAATACTGATTGGCTATCTGAAAGCGGGACCCACACTGTTGACGAATATGCACATTTCATTCGTGCATTCATCGCACGCGCCGTAATTAGCACGTGGCACAATAGAAAAGGTGGTATTATATCGTCAGCTACACCAAAAAGAAATACTAATAAATAAACCCTTAAAATTCCAAAATGCGAATTATGATTTATATGACGACTCAACTCCCTTTCTAAATATATAATAATTTTTATATATTTATATCACCCCATTTTTTTGAGTATAGCATATTTCACACTATTTTTGTTTTTCTTTCTTGTTCTCGTCATGTTCAGCTAGGCAATTTGTCAAGCATCAGAGATGGCGGCTGCCGGCAAGGACTGTGGCTGTGGTGAAATTTCCGACCACTTTTCCGACGGTATTTCCTAAAACAAACTCAATTCCTCTTACCTCAACAAAAAAGTTTCTCGCCCCAAAAATGGCCGACCAAACCCTCACCTAGCTCGCATTCGACACCTCACAAAAAAAGAAAGAAAAAAAAAAGCGTTTTCTTCTCATCAATGTCCAACGAAAACCCACCTCCCACTTCGGCTTCGGCGGAATCGGCGGCGGCCGGCGCCCTGAACAAGCGGTACGAGGGCCTGGTGGCCCTCCGCACCAAGGCGGTGAAGGGGAAAGGCGCCTGGTACTGGGCCCACTTCGAGCCCATTCTCGTCAGGAACCCGGACACCGATTTCCCGACGGCCGTGAAGCTGAGGTGCACCCTTTGCAACGCCGCATTCTCGGCGTCAAACCCTTCGAGGACCGCCTCCGAGCATCTCAAGAGAGGGACATGCCCCAATTTCAGCTTCACGATGAAGCCAATTTCTCAGCTGCCGCCATTGGCCTCGCCCTCTTCACACCCTAATCACCGGAAACGGAGCTTGGAGTTCCAGCAAGCTAAAGGTAGAAACAAATTATAATCCGCAACTCATGGTTTAATTTGGAAATATATTGGTTAAATTATTTGATTTTTGTATTTTTTTTTTCCTTGTGGAGATTCTACAAGAATTATTCTCAGAAATTATATATTTTGACAAAAAAAAAAGAATCAAATTACATGATCTTACGTGAATTAATCAAAAATTAATTGTTGTATTAACAGATAAGTTCTGAAGAATTTATCACAAATAATATTTATAGAAGATATAAATGAATTATTCATAGTCTTTTGTTTTTATTGAGTTGCCATGATAGGTTCTTGCTTAGACGTAAATCCAATCAACGTTGTCTTCTCATCAAGATCGGGTAATGAGATGGCGTTTTTACCAGCCCAAAGTGGACATTCCCAGGTTTCGAGCCCGAAACAGCTGGTTTTGTCCGGCGGCCGGGATGATTTAAGGCCTCTGGCACAATTTGAAGATAGCATCAAGAAGCTGAAAAGCCCAAAAGCTTTGCCTGTGCCCACTCTTAGCAAAACTCAAGTTGATACAGCTTTTGACCTTTTGGCCGATTGGTTTTTCAAGTCGTGTGGCTCGCTCAAATTTTCGAGTTTTGAGGACCCAAAGTTCAAGGCTTTTCTTGACAAGGTGGGCTTGCCTGAGGTCTCAAAAAGAGAATTCTTTTGCTCTAGGCTCGAATCCAAGTATGCTGCCACCAGAAGAGAGTCAGAAGCCAGAATTAACGAGGCAACTTTTTTTCAAATTGCGTCTGATGGGTGGAAAAGTAACAATCTTGCAAATGGCGACAATTTTTTCGTCAATTTCATTGTGAACCTACCAAACGGGACACGTGTGTTCCACAAGGCTGTATATTTAAATAACAGCACGCTGCCTTCACAGTATGTGGAGGAGGTTATAAGGGAGGCTATTCAGAGTATATGCAGTAATAATGTAGAGAGATGTGTAGGGATCGTTGCGGACAAGCATAGACGAAAGGCATTGATAAATTTAGAGCTCGAGAATAAATGGATGGTCAATGTATCTTGCCAGATTCAGGGATTTCTTAGCCTAATCAAGGACCTCATTAGAGAATTCTCGCCTTTTAGTTCCGCAAAAGAAAACTGTCAAAAAATCGCGAATTTGATCAACCACCACCCGCAGGTCCGGAATTGCATCCGCAGGTTTAGGTCTCAAGGGCTCGAGTGTACGGATTTCATTCGAACATTTTCCTCTAAACGTGACATTTCAAAAAACTTCGGCCTGTTTATGGCAATGCTAGATGATGTAGTGACTTGCTCCCAAATACTTCATCTTGTTGTGTTTGACGAGTCGTATAAAGCTCTCTGTTTGGAGTATCCTGCAGCCAGAGAAGTTGGCAACATCATTCAAGACATGGGGTTTTGGAAAAACGTGGAGGCCTCTCGTTCTCTTGTGAAATTAGTATTGTCGATGGCTAAAGAGATGGAGACAGATAGGCCGTTGATCAGCCAATGCCTTCCCCTTTGGGACGAGCTGAGGGCCAAAACAAAACGGTGGTGCGCCAAACACGGCCTTACCGAGGGGCCCCTCGAGCGAATAATCGAGTCCCGGTTCCGAAAAAGCTACCACTCAGCCTGGTCGGCCTCATTCGTTCTCGACCCGCTCAATTTAGTAAAAGACGAGGCTAGTGGAAAATATCTGCCCCCTTTCAGTTCCCTGACGAGCCGGCAGGAAGAGGATGTGGAGAAGCTTGTGATCCGGTTGGTCCCTAAAGAGGAAGCCGATGTGGCGTTAATGGAGCTGATGAAGTGGAGGTCAGAAGGTCTTGACCCGTTGTACGCTCAGGCGGTCCAACTCCGGCAACGTGATGATTTGACCGGAAAAATGAAGATTGCTAACCCTCAAAGTAGACGGCTCGTGTGGGAGACTTGCTTGAAGGAATTCAAGGCACTGAGTAGAGTAGCCGTGAGGCTCCTTTTCCTCCACGCAACCTCATTGGGGATCAAGTGCGATCGGGCCTTTACCGAATGGTTTTGCGGGCTGGGGGCGGGCCTTGAGAGGGCCCAAAAGATAGTTTATGTGGCGGCCCAGGCAAGGCTCCAGAGGCCGGATCTTTTGGATGACGAATGAGGTTCTTGATTTATTTATTTTTCTTCTGTTTAACTCTTGTAGAATTTATGGAGTGTAGGATTTGTTGATTATTATTTTTTATTTACTAATTTACCTTTGTTCGTTTAGTTTTTACTTTAGTTCTTCATGAAATTTGTAGAGGAATTCTTTTCAGATTTATACATTCAAAATTTGATATGCAGATTGGTGAAATTTGTAGTGTATTTAATGACTGTCATGAAAATTATTATGCCCTTTTTATTTGATAAGCAGAATGGCTATCTAATATCTATAATAGGTGATGAAAGCAGAAGAAACTGCATTGAGCTTGCATAAGAGATGATTTTAAATCATTCTGGCAGCAAGGTGATCTATTATTTATCTCAAATCTTGGTCTTTTTTAAGGCCTCGTTTACTTTGCTTGATAGGATTATACAAAGTATTATATTAATCAAATGTGGCACATGATATTTTATTAAGGGACTCAATACATTGTGGGTGTTCTTAACACTTTTTAAAACACACTAAGCATCATTTGTTAGGAAAGTTGGTATAAAAGGCAAATTAGGTTTAGTGATTTATTATAACTTTTCTTATTAATAATCTTATTATTATTATTACAACATCTGTCGACGACGTTGTTGTTATTATTATTATTATTATTATTATTATTATTATTATTATTATTATTATTATTACTTGTAAACATCTTTACCATCTCTTACTGGCCCTCGTGTTAAAAGTTGTCCATCCAAAGCCAAAGTTTAAGAAATTAGTGATTAGTTGAATAATGATTGTTGTTGATTGTTGTTCCTTTTTCGATTTCTAGAGAGCATCATAGTGGGGGGAAAATGGTATGTGGAGATGTAAAAAATGAACTCTTGAGTGTGATTGGATATACATACAATGATGAAAGTGACCTTGAAATGATAATTATCAATGTGATTCCTTGTGTTTTCCTTATGAATTTACTTGAAGTGAAAAAAGTTACTACCTCCTTT